ACACATCAACATCNATCAACAACAACAGCATCGNTCTACAACAACAACAACATCATCATCTACAACAACATCATCAACAACAACAACGTCTACAACAACAACAACATCATCATCAACAACAACACCAACAACAACAACAGCGTCTATAACAACAACAACAACACCATCAACACCAACATTAACAACATCTATTCTAGCCGTGACATCAACAAAAGATACTACATTGAAAAACGAACCAACAACAACATATGAAATATTAATAACATCTGACATTATTACATTTGCAACAGCAACTTCAACCAACTTTTTAGCTCCAACAACTACTACCACCACCACTACTACTACTACTACTGCTACTACAACTACCACTACTGCTACTACCACTACTGCTACTACAACTACCACTACTACTACTACTACCACTACTACTACTACTACTAATTTAATGTCATCATCAACAACAACACCATCAACACCACCACCATCGTCATCATCACAATCAGCAACAGCAACAACAACAACAACACCATCATCATCACTTACTCTAGAAAGTAACGAATTAGTTTCAAAAGGTGATAACATTGAGGGGGACGGTGATGATAACAATGTTGATAATAATGACGTCACGAATAAAATTTTATCAAAAGCCAAAATGGCGGTCGGCAAAGAAGAAGAGGAAGAAGATGACAATGATGGTGACGGTGATCATGATGTGGATGTAGTAGTAGCAGCTAAAATGATGACTATTACTACGGCCGTTTCTGCTACTAGTAGTACAACTACTACAGCTACTGTAGCTACTACTACTACTGCTGCTGCTACTGATACTACTACACTTGCGACTACTACTATTACTACTGCTGCAACCTTGCAGTCGTCATCATCATCATTGCATTCCAGTGTGATATCGCCATCGTCATTAGCAGCAACCACAACATCGTCATCATCATTAACGGAAGTACAAAAAAGTATCAACTTCATCCACAAAACCATCAACGCCACATTAACTACTTCTGCTCATCTCCAGCCAATCACAGCGCAGGACGACATTTCCTCTTCTCCCATTGGTTGCAACGTTATTACAGCACCGTCATCACTCAAAAAAGACCCAAGCGATGATAACGATAACGATTTGAACGTTGACGACTACGCGGACGATGACGTCATAACCGCTGGCGGTGATGATGATGATGGGGGTAGTAGTGCCAGGGGAGGGAACTTCACCCCGAGCAAAAGTAGTAGTAGTGAGGTTTTTAAAGCCCATGACGGAAGCGTCGAGAAGGAAATCGCCGATGTCGCCACTGCCAGTCTTGATGATGATGATGTCGCCAAGGGTGGTCCTGATGATGATGTCGCCAAGGGTGGCCCTGATGATGATGTCGCCAAGGGTGGCTCTGATGATGATGATGACGACGATGATGATGATGACGACGACACGCTCAATAATCGGCCGGATAATATTTCTAGGAAAATTCAAAATGGCCGCCAAAGTAAGGTTGACGTCATGCGAGAAATCGCGACTGGCGTGGCGGACATTGCGAAAAATGTGATGAGAAATGACGACGATGGTGGGTATGGTGATGAGGATCAGGTTAAAATCTGTGATGAAGTTGATAAAAAAGATGATGTAGGCGGTGAAAATGTAGTTAAAAATGATGACAAGCTTGAGAATGTTGACGAAAGAACTAAAATCTGTGATAAAACAAGTGACGAAATTGATAGTAACGTGATTCCGGACTGTGATAAACCCGAAAATGATGATGAAGTGAGTAAAATTTGTGATGAAGGTGCTGGAATTCTGATAATGGATGATAAAAAACTTGAAATTGGTGACGATATGATTAAAATTTGCAACGAGAATGCAGACAAGGAGGGCGCAGATGTCATAAGACAGGACGACAAATCAGCTAGCGATAGTAGAATAACAAAAACCTGTGGTGAATATCATCGTAGAGACCTTAAAAATGTGATAACTCGTGCTGATAAACCAGTGAATGATGACATAAATGTGATAATACATAGTAAACTAACTAACGGGGAGGAAATGACAAAAATCTCCAACGTAGATGATGATAAAGACGATAAACATGTGATAAATGATCATGATAAGCCGCTATGTGATGATGAAGAGGCAAAAAATGTGATGAAACATGAAGATAAGCCAGTGAGTAACGAAGAAATTTACAAAACTTACATTGAAACTGACGATGCATGCTATAAAAATGTGGATGAACATGGCGATAAACCACTAAGTGATGACAAACTGGCGAAAACTCGTGATGAAACTGATGATAAAGACTTGAGAAATGCGATAAAACTTGATGACAACCGGCAAAGCCATCAGCTTCCGTCGCTGATTTCATTCCAGGATAATGTTTCCAAATTCTCACCTATGGTCATGCATCACACTGAAATCGTTAAAATTGGCGAAACGAAAATTGACCACAGCGATGACGACGACGATGATAAGAAGGGTAATGATGGTGATAAGTATTGTCATGATGGTGGCGGTAATCATCATTCTGTTGGTATGGTTGATGTCTATAAAAATGGTATTGAAAGTTTAGTATTGATAACAACAACTGCAACAACTGCAACAACAACAACTGCAACAACTGCAACAACTGCAACAACAACAACTGCAACAACTGCAACAACAACAACTGCAACAACTGCAACAACAACAACTGCAACAACTGCAACAACAACAACTGCAACAACAACAACTGCAACAACTTCAACAACAACAACTGCAACAACTGCAACAACAACAACTGCAACAACTGCTAATAATGATGGCGATGATCTGATTAAGACGATGACAAATGATATGGTCCAACTGACAACAACAACATCATTGTCGCCAACAACAGCAACAACATCGTCAACAACAACAACAACAACATCAACAACAACATCAACAACAACAACATCATCGTCATCAACATCAACAACGACGACTCCAGCAACCAAAGATTCAAATAAAGATGACCTATTGATAAACTTTTACGATGACGTCACGTCAGCACTTTCGTACCAAAGATCCAAAAACGTTTTCACCGTTGATACAGATGGTGGTGATGACGACGACGATGATGAAAAAGATAAATTCGTTACTGATAATGATATTGCCAGCAGTGCTTCAAATATCCAGAATAATATAAATAATAAAACCAACAATGGTAATGGCGATAGTAACGCTAGCACGAAACACGGTGATGATGATGATGATGATGATGATGAGGATGGCAATGATGATAATGGTGCTGATCTAAATAATGATGATGATGTTTTAGGCGTTGCTGATAATGATTACGCAGTTATTGATGTTAAAAATGGTGGTGGTGGTGATTATGATGGAGTTAAAATTAACAATGTTTTCTGTAAGGTTCTAGATGACGATGATGAAGACGACGACCATCACCATCATTACCATCTCGAGGGTATTAGTAATGATTACAAAAATTACAGTGATGATGCTGGTGGTAAGAAAAAAGGTGATGATGATGATGATGACGATAATGACGTCATCGCTAGTGAAAACAAAAACGAACACTGGACTCTGAGCATAGATAAGACTACTACCATTCTTACCACTACTACTACTACTACTACTACTACTACTACTACTACTACTACTACTACTACTACTACTACTACCACTACTACTACTGCTGCTGCTGCTGTGGCTACTACTACAACTACGGGTATTGATAATGGTAATAAAAAACGTGGTAATGATGACGATAATGAAGTTGATGACTTCACCGGAGGTGCTGATAATGATGCTTCAGTTGTTGGCGCCAATAGTAATGATGATAATAGTATCGTCGCCGAGTGTGGCGAAATTGGCGTTAGACGTTTTGATAACGATGACGATGACGCAATCGGAAGTACTGGTAAGGACCCTAATGTTATTGGTGGAAATGATAATGACGTAATTGGCGGCGGTACTGATGACGATCTCGTGAATTTCGCGGCTAAGTCGATGGTGTCTGTTTGCATGGAGCATGTTAAAAACTCCAGCCTGGCGTTGAATTCTGAAAAAAATTCAGCGGAGCCAAATTTGGCCTTGAATCGTGAGGATGATGATGATGATGACGATGGAAAAATAGAAGTTAATGACGATTATGGTAATGATGTTGGCGGCAATAGTAGCGATCATTCAAATCGTCACCACCATGGCCACAACCAGCAGCAGCAGCAGCAGAAGGAGAATTTAAATTCGGAAAATTTGATTCGTGTAATGAAGATTGCCAAGAAGTCAATCGTTGTTGGTGGGGGGGATCTAAATGATGATGATGATGGTGATGATAATGATAATGTGAATGATGATAACGATAAACCCGGGAAAACCCTCGACTATGATTGCATGGGCAACAATTCGGTATCCCCTAGTACCGATACCGTCAAGCAAGTAAAACAATTCCGAAACGAGACGGTGCTGCACGAACCGGTTTCGATAGCCGAACCGATAACACCGATGATACCGAGACAACCTGGATCGCATATAACCGGTGAAATAATGTTTGTCGATGGTGGTAGTAGTCATTACATAACTGATTATCATTACGACACAACAGCTACTGTTGCTACCACTATTACTACTACTGCTGCTGCGGCTGCAGATACTACTACTACCACCACCACTACTACTACTACTAATAATAATAATAATAAATAATAATAATAATAATAATAATGTTAACAGCAAAAATGAGGATTGTAAGGAATATAAGAAAAACTGATGATGTTAATGATGATGATAATAATAATAGTAACCATAATAATAATAATAACCATAATAATAATAATAACCATAATAATAATAATAATAACAATAATTATAATAGTGATGATGATGATGATGACAATGGAGGAGGTGTAGGTTGGTGACGGTAATTGCTAAGTTTGAATTATTATTATTTATACTTGTCGGCTTATTATCGATTGTTTGTTTTTGATTATTTATTGTTATTTTTATTATTATTTTTGTTATTATTACTATTATTGTTGTTGTTCTTATTATTATTATTATTATTAAATTTATTTCTGGAAAAGCTCGATGGCTAACATTGTATGACGGTGTTGGTAGAATTCATTTTAAGAATTTTATTTTAAAAATTTTATTCATTCATTCAGTCGTTCATTCATTGGTTAATTAATTCAATTATTAATGAATTCATTCATTCATTCATTCATTCATTCATTCATTCATTCATTCATTCATTCATTCATTCATTCATTCATTTTTTTTCATTCATTCAGATTGACATCACTTCAAGAAGAATGGAAGGAAGAACCGGCATATATAGAAGTCAAAAACTAATAATCCATTACTACAATTTTTACTATATTTAATAAAGCTACTACTACTACTACTACTACTACTACTACTACTACTACTACTACTACTACGACTACTACTACTACTACTACTACTACTACTTCTATGGCTATACTAGACAGATAGATGGTTTAATGGTTAAGACGCTTGATGTGTGTGTGTGTGCGTGTGTGTGTTGTGTGGGTTCAATAAAGAAAAGAAAGATAAGAATAGGTGAAAAGTTTTATCAAATGTAATTTCATTGGTATCACCTCTTATTGAGATGACAAAAATCAACATCCTAATCATTACCACCGACTTCTTCTTTGTGGTAGTAGTAGTAGTAGTAGTAGTAGTAGTAGCAGTAGTGGTAGTAGTAGCAGTAGTAGTGGTAGAAGTAGTAGTGGTAGTAGTAGAATACGTTGATTGTTATGCGTGTTAATATATACATACATATACTTATTATACCTGTATATATATATATATATATATATATATATATGTATGATTATTTTTATTATAACATGTCACATTTTATCGAATCTCTTTTCAAACCGAAAAGTTTTTTCTCATATATTATCACATAATAGTTGTATATATATATATATATATATATATAATATCGTCTAATAATAATAATAATATTATAATAATAATAAAATATATGCAGTAATTTATAAAATCTACCGAGTCCCTAGCGTTGGATAATTTTTTATTACATTTCTCATCATTTCTAACCAAATTTTTTGCCATCACTATTTTTCATCTGAAGTTAGAATAATACACAGAAGAGAAGTTTCTATAGAAAAGACACACCTAAAACACACACATAAAGCTAGAATAACATACAGTTGTCATGAACAGAAAACAGCTGCGCACCTCAACACGGCTCGGTTTTAAAACCTAGTCATCTGATATATAAATTTACGTGTCATCTTGAAGGCTATGCACTTCAGAATGCTTTATATAATACATTAGAGTAACCTACAACATCGCTAACTAAACGTCTGATCATGTTCTGATAAGGTTCTATAAAAACACACTTAGAACACGCACATAATGTTGGAATTACAAGAGAAATCCTTGACAGCAACACCTAAATGATATACTGTAATTCTAGCCATTCCCAACTGAAATTAGCCAGAGTTATTCTCATCGACATAAAACAACCCCCTGATAAATATGACGGCAAGAATTAGGTTATATTGAGAAATGTAATTAAAAAAAACAACCCAACGCTAGAAATTCGGTAGATTTCATAAATTACTGTATTAATTATGGTATTTCACCAGCATGTATATACATCTATATGTATATATATATACATATAGAGAGAGAGAAAGAGAGAAGGAAAAAGAGAGTGAGTGAGTGAAAGAAAGAGAGCTCTGGAAGAAAAGGAGAGTCAGGCCATTCGGCATCATGGCCCTGAAGTACTGCAAAGACGGAATTGAATGCTGTGATAAAGTGTATATATATATATATATATATATATATATATATATATATATATATAGTTATTGATTTAGATGTTGTATAATTAACTTTTATCACATGTAATATAAATATTATATAATAAAAATGGATGAAAAACGTCCATAGATACAAAAAGACACACATGCAGAGGTACATAGACGTACACATACACACACACACACACATTTGAACTTACAGCCAAGCACAATCGCAAATCCACACACACACACACACACACACACACACACACACACACACATACATTAATTTTATGAAAATTATCATTTTTTTCCAATGTTTTGTCTTTCCATTCAAGCTTTTTCGTTGTTGTTAATTGCTTATGCAATCAATTATTTAGCCTACGTATATATAATTTTATTATTGTTATTATTATTATTACTATTACTATCAGTGTTGCTTGATTTATATATTAATCAGTCACCCATCCATCCATTTATGAATGAATAAATTTATAAGTTTCAGTTGGAGAATATTGACCGCAAATGATTGAACGGGTGAATGGATTAGCGAATGAATTGTTTAATGAATGGATAGATGAATGAACGAATGAATGAACGAACGAATGAAAGAAAGAAAGAAAGAAGGAATAGATGAATAAAAATCGATTTGGTGTACATACAAACACTATTTTACATTTAAATTTTACAATTCATTATCAACATATACATTCCAAATTATATATATATATATATATATATATATATATATATTTATTTATTTAATTATATAACTATATACCTATATATATATATGGCTATAATTATAATCTATAATATATGTAATGATATTAATTTATTGCATAAAAATATATATATATAATATGCAATAACGTTACTCATATGCTTTAATGAATATATTATATATGTATTAATTTATCTCCACAACAATTTCTAAAAAATTCTACTAAGGGAAATTGAAAAGATAAACTTTAAACTGATAAATTCCAAAAATTCGTTAGAATTCGGACAATACCGTAAAATTTTTCCATCTATATAACCTAGTTCTTTTTTTATACCATGGACAGTGATATGGCCTGGTTATGTGGATTTTGGCGTATTCACGTGGCCAAAGACAGTTTTTTAATAAAAAGTAAGGAGAAAGACTAATTTAGGTATGGTAGAAAATTGACTGAAAATTCGACCCGATAAGCCAAAAAAGGTCTTCAGTAGTACTAGCACAAATTAAGGTAAAAATTTGACGGAAAATTCATCCTGATAATCCCAAAAGATCTTCAGTAGTACAAGCACAAATTTAGGTAGAATATTGACTAAAAATTTGTCCTGATAATTCCAAAAAGTCTTCAGTAGTACTAGCACAAATTTTGTCTTCTTCTCGGGAAAATGTTGGTCTCGCCTCTTAAAAGTTATCAAGATCGGCCACTGAGTATGTGTTCATGTTGGTATTCATTTATATATTAGGAGTTAGCATGGAAGAAGAGACACTTTTAATGATGTCAATGATGATGTTAATATGATGATGAGTTTTGTTATCATCCTAGCTTGATAGAACTCTTATTACGTAATGAGTTAATTTTTTAAGAGGCTCGCTTTTTGTTCGCTTTTAGATAAATCAATGTTTTGGCTTTTTAATATTTATTTAATGGTTTTTCTTTTGTTATTCCTAATTTGTCGTTATTTTTATTAATATTTTTATTTTGTTTCTTATTATTGTTCACATGGTCACTTTTTTTATTATTATTGTTTATTATTATTGTTGTTGTCCGAATTGCGAAAATTGACTTTTTCTTCCAATTGGTTCAAAAAGTTACAAAATATTTAAACAAATTAATCTATTAGCTTTCTCTCTCTCTTTGTCTCTTTCTTCCACTTTCTTTTTTTCATTCTCTCTCTCTTTCTCTTTCTCTCTCTCTCTCTCTCTCTCTCTCTCTCTCTCTCTCTCTCTTTCTTTATAGACACATGTATCATCGGCGGACAAGGTTTTATAATCTCTTTGAATTATATTTTAAATTCTAAATAAAGTTCATTCAACTATTCTATTGTTATGTAGAAAAATTGAATCTATATTTAACCTTTATTGTAATTAATTAACTAATTAATAATAATAATAATTGTTATTATCATTATTATTATAATCATTATTATTCATCATGATGATTGTTATAAATTTTCGGCCGCGTTTTGGAATATTGTTTTCGTCAAAATTGCCAAATCATTCAGCTTTATGTTCATTTACTTTTTCCTCGTTCGATCATTTTTTCATTTATTCATCCATTCATTCACTCGTTCATCCATTCATTCGTTTATTCATTCATTCATTCATAGAATTATTATTGTTGACTCTTTAATGGTATTGGTACGCTTATTGCCGCTACTTTTATTCATTCAATCATTCACTCATCCATTCATTCGTTCATTCATTCAATCGATCATTTACTCAATCATTAATTCATTCATTCAATCATTCATTCATTCAATCATTCATTCATTTAAAAAAATGCTTCCAAAAATAATTCACTAAAACAAATTGCAATGTGTGTCGTTAACATTTCTGAGCGTTTATGTATTATTGGTTATAACTAAAGAATTAATTAATTAATTTTATTACACTTGCAAATTTTTGATAAATTAAATTAAATCATTTTATCGTTTAAATTTGAATAAAAGTTCTTAGAAATGTGCATTCAATCAATCAATTAGTTTATAAAGCGCTATTTCCGCTATGTTCAACAGCGCTCCCCAATGAATTTTGCAAACAGATGGGTCTTGAGATCCGCTCTGAACTTCGTAAGTGATGGAGAAGTAGTCAGAGAAGGAGGTAGAGAGTTCCAGAGAAAAAGGCCAGAAAAAGCAAATGCAAATATAGCAAAGGAGTGTTTAACACGAGTTAAGAAGCGAGAACAAGAAGACGATCGTAAACCGGCGCGTTTAAGTTCAATTAATATATCTGATATGTACTTGTGAAACAATTTAGATTGAGACTTATATATAAAAGTGCAAATTTAAAAATTAATCTATATTTAAAGGTAGCCAGTGCAAGAGAACAAGATATGGAGATATATGAGAAAAGAAAGATTGATTATTGTAACTAAAGAAGTAACAAGGAGAAGTGTAGGATCGTCAAGAAAAGGCAAAATTTTTTTTATTCTACGTAGATGAAAGCAAGAACTTCTAGCAAACCTATTAATCTGAGAAGGAGACATGCTAGAATCAAAGATAAAGCCTAGACTACGAAACATGTGAGAAACATCAAGAGTTTTAGAATCAGGTAAGATAATAGGAGGAATAGTAATAGAACGTTTAGATTTATTAAAACAAATTAATTCAAATTTAGAAAAATTTAGGATCGATTGATAATTCATTCATTCTTTCGTTCATTTATTCATTCAGGCAACCTTCTATTCACTCATTCATTCATTCATTCATTCATTCATCTTTCTGTCTTTAAATTAATAAACAAAAAGACACGTTCAATAGTACTATTTCGACACCTCTTACTTATGATCGGCAAAAAATATTTTGAAGGAAAATTTTTAAGAAATTAAAATGCACAAATGAATTAATGGATGAATGAATGAGTGAGTGGGTGAGTGAAGTGAGTGAGTGAGTGAGTGAGTGAGTGAGTGAGTGAGTGAGTGAGTGAGTGAGTGAGTGAGTGAGTGAGTGAGTGAACGAATAAAAAAAGTCAAATTCGATGTCCAAAATGTTAACGAATCCAATCAGGAATTTATACGATTAAAAGTATTGGAAATGAATGAAAGAAAGAATGAATGAATCAATCAATCAATCAATCAATCAATCAACGAGAAAATATAATATATATTGAACGAACAAATGGATGAGTGAATGAATGAAAGAGCAAGCTAATAACCGAATGGATACCACGACAATGAGTGAATGATTGAATGAATGAGTGATTGAATGAATGAATGAATGAATGAATGAATGAATGATTGAATGAATGAATGATTGAATGAATGGAAAATTTAATATATATATATATATATATATATATATATATATATATATATATATATATATATATAAGAATCGTATATAATTACAGCATATTATCATCGTCATCAATTTCCACTAACGTAAAAAAACGCATATTAAGTAATTTATAAGCATTAGTTTAAAAGATACTAATTAATAATAATAATAAATAATAATAATTATTATTATAATAACTATGAAATAATTATAATGGCCTAATTGTGCATATTTTCGCTTCATTCCCTAGTACGATGACGATGAAAAATTGAAAGAAAAGAACAATAATAATAATAATTATTATAATAATTATAATAATAATTATAATTATAATAATAATTATAATTATAATAATAACAACAGGCGAATGATAGCGAAAGATTTTTGTCGAATTTTTAAACGCAACTGTCCTTGGGAAATTTTTTTCAGAGAATAAAAAAGTATGAAAATATAATTTATAAAAAAATGAAACAATAATAAAAAGAATAATAATAATAATAATTCGCCACCTCTCTCTCTCTCTCTCTTTCTCTCTCTATCTCTTTCTTTCTCTCTCTCTCTCTCTCTCTCTCTTTCACTCTCTCTTCCTCATATTTTGCATCATCCTTTTTGTATGTGTGTATATATGTATGTATGTATGTATGTATGTATGTATGTATGTATGTATGTATGTATGTATGTATGTATGTATGTATGTATGTATGTATGTATGTATGTATGCGTGTATGTATGTGTGTATGTTTGTATTGTAAGCATTAACACATAGTACCCATATAATACAAGCTATACAAACAGAAAACAAGCAATAAACAAAAAGAAGATTGCTAAAACTTACAAAAAAAAAAAAAAAAAAAATATTAAACCGGATGAAGAAGCCAGCAATAAAAAAACAAAATAAAATTTCATAACTTCTTGAAGAAAAATCACCGTCTATTTGAAAAACAACACACACACACACGCACACACATACACACACACATACACAAACATACATACATGTATAAACTATGACGAAGGAAATATATGGCAATATACAAAAAAGTAACCTTTCACGTAAGAATCACAACCGGGTATTCCGTGGAAGAATAACAACAATAATAACAATAATAATAACAATAACAATAAAACAACAATAAAACTTAAAAAAAAATATAAAACCTATTCAAAGTTCAACAACAGCAAGCAAGTACACCGTCCATAATTTATTACAGCTCTTCTAGTAGTAATTAATTGTCATTCATTCATTCATTCCTTCGTTCGTTCATTCATTCATTTGTTCGTTCAATCTTTCATTCATTAATTAATTCACTCGTTCATCCAATCATTAATTCAGTCAGTCAGTTAGCCAGTCAGTAGGTCAGTCACTCGTTAATTCAATCATTTAACCATCCATCCATTCATACATCCATTCACTTAATAGTAATAATAATAATAATAATAATTATTATTATTATTATTATTATAATTATAACCATTTATTCTTATTATTATTATTATTTATCTAAGCAACCTTGGACATTTTCATACTCGCTTCAGGATCTCATATGTACATTAATGATCGAGTAAGCTGATAAAAAAACCAATAATAATAATAATAAATCAATAATAATAATAATAATAATAGTAAGACAATCATAATCAGCAATAGCGGTAGTAGTAGTAGTAGTAGTAGTAGTAGTAGTAGTAGTAGTAATTTTAAAGTTAAAAACAAGATTGCTCTGGCTTAAAATAAGTTCATAATTACTACAAACTATAATTATTATTATTTATTCTTATTATTATTTATTATTATTACTATTGTTATTGTTATTACTATTTGTACAGCAATTAACCTAGCACCTTAATTTTATGAACACAGTCTAGCAGTCTAGTTAATCACCATCACCCTCATCACCACCACCATCATAACCATCATCATCATTTTTTTCCTCTTCTTCCTCTTCTACCTTCACCAACAACATCGTCATCATCGTCGTCGTCTTCATCTTCTTCCTCATCTTCTTTTTCTTCATCATCAGCTTCTTCTTCTTGTTCATCATCACCAGAAGCGTTTGAAACACCATATGTTTTGAGACTCTCGAGTGAAGCTGGCGCTTCTGAAGTTATTCAACAAGGGGGCCTTCCACAAATCCTTAGATACAGATACAGATTATCATCATCGCCATCACCATCTTCATCATCGTTACCATCATCATCATCGTCTTCCGCTTCTTCATCATCATCTTCCTCTTCTTCATCATCATCTTCCTCCTCTTCATCACCATCTTCTTCTCTCGTCGTCATCCTTACCATCACTTAGAGACGACGACAGCACAGAGGAACGTCTGCGACAGGGGCTTCACGAAGTGGCTGTCGACCACGCCACAGTGAGGGCAGGCCAGCGATTGGCTGTAGTCACTGAAAAATCTAACATTAACACTATTATTATTGTTGTTATTCTTATTGTTATTATTATTATTGTTGTTGTTGTTGCTGCTGTTATTCTTCATGTTGTTCAGCGCCGTTGATATGACGCTATTGTTGTTGAAATGATTGCTGTTGCTGTTGTTGCTGTTGTTTGGAGAGGAGCAACTGCTTATTATACTACACAGATTATTATTATTACGATTATTTACGTAGTTATTATTATTGTTGTTGCTGTTGTTGTTGTTGCTGCTGCTGCTGTTGTTGTTGTTGTTGTTGTGGAGATATGTGATTGGCAGGCGACAAGACTTGCAAAGGAGTCTTGCTTGACAGCAGGGCTGTGCCGCGAAAATGTCGTAAGAGTACATGGAGCCGATGATGAGGTTGGATCCTTGCCAGGGTCGATTGCAGTAGCAGCACTGAAGTAGGTATTGTTGCTGCTGTCTGCTGCTGTTGCTGTTGTTGAGTGGAGTGATTGGTTGGTTGGATGGATGGTTGGTTGTTTGGTTTGATGGTTGGTTGTGTGGTTGGATAGATGGTTGATTGGTTGGTTGGTTGGTTGGTTGGTTGGTTGTTTGGTTGGTTGTTTGTTTGGTTGGTCAATCAAAATGCATTCACAATAATCAAACATTTGTCTATCAACTGTTGCGCTTCATCTAAAAACAATCAATCAAACCGAACTCAAATAAATCAACCAGCTAATCAACCAGCTAACCAACCAACCAATCATTTAACCAACCATTTAACCAACCAACCAACAAACAAACCAACCAACCAAACGACCAGCAAACCAACCAACCCTATAATCAAATCAGCCGACAGACAATCGACGCATATGGCATTGAGGAAGAACTTCTTGGAGTCTTTCTCGACGATAGGGGTCACGTGATCGACAAGCGAGGAGGAACGTGGAGGCGACGACGATGACGTCATCAGCCTATTCTCCACGGAGTACCTAAACGGAGAGAGGAAGAAGGTCCCGTCGATCAGCGGGTACTTATCGTAGACATGTAGATTGGCTACGCAGACGCAGCAGAAGACATCCGTGACGTTCTGGTAGCTCAGCTGGGTCAGCAGGAAACTGCGGATCTCGTCGTTGCCATGTGGACCTTCGTCTTCCACCTGCAGATAATTAAGCAAGTGACCAGACAT